GGAAACACTACTGTACTTACACTCAACATAAACACACTCATGCAAGACAGGCAAACACAGCCCACATAAACACACACTGTATACACACACACACACACACACAGGTGGTGTCCATGCAGGTTGTTGGTGTGGGTCTGTGTCTCTCTCTCTTTCTCCATCTAACATTTGACTGAAATCCACCAACTGATGATATTTCACCAATTGTCATGCAATGGTTTGGACACTCAGGCAACTGCACTCCTCCTATTCATTCACTTTTATCATGAATTTTTCACATTTCATGTATTTTAGCCTTTTTTATATTTTCAAAGTATGGTGTTTTATCATTAGTGTCGAGTATGGCATAGCATGGCCGACAGAATCTTCTTGTAGTTTCAGACACAAAAGCAGACTGAAACAACAAGGCCATCAAACAAACTAAAAGTCCAAACTCTACAGGAAGCAAAAGGGACAAACCAACAAAGATGAGGCATGAGGAAACTAAAGCGGAAAGGTCATCTAGAAATGTTCACTGAATAGAAAAACCAGAAAATAGGGAGATGTTAGGTGCGTGCATGTGTATTAAATTACTCAACAATACACTGCCTTAGTGTCACCAAACACGTGGGGGTATTTCTCAGGAGGATATCTCTTCATCATTAACTGCTGGAGCTGATCAAAGGTCAAATGTCAGTAAAAATATGTTCCAAAACAAACATTTTCTAAGATTTATCCACAAGAGACAATCTTAAGCTATGATTAGAAAATGAATCCTGATCATAAAATGTGTGATGAGTCACGAAGGAGTCAGAAAATTACATCATGCATTGTTAAAAAATGTATTTTTCGAGGTTCTCTCCTCTGCAAAAGATAAAAATCAAAGAGGATAGGGTATTGTGTAAGTCTCCAGGATGACTACACCTAAAGTGACATCTAATGTGTGTCAAAGTGTTTAAGTTGTTGCAGTTAAATTCATGAAAGCAGCCTCACCTGCCCTCAAGATGTGAACATGCTCTTCTCAGAGAAAAGTCTCTCTCCTCTCTGGGTAACGTCGAGCTTGATGTCGCCCAACATCATCAAATATTCAGAAAGAAATTAGAATGTTATAAGAGTTATTTGGATAATTTATTTTATTTTTATGGGGGCGGTTGAGGGTGTGTGTGTGTGTGCAGTTTTGGGAGCGTAAAAGTGTTTGTGGAGTCTGTGCTAAAATGGATTAACAACAGTTAGTACCACTCCCTGTTGATTACTAACAGTAACAAAAGGGCAGAGAGGGTAATCCCAGGGATTTACTACTGTACACACACACACACACACACACACACACACACACACAATATAGCTTAGTTTAATCTGTATCTGGAAGACGATGATGAAGAAATGATGAAGGACACACATACTCACAATATTATTAATCTGATTAAAATTATATCACTAATTGAACACTATCAATGAAACTTAAAAGCATCTCATGAAGAATAAACATGATGTTTGTGGTTGCACTTCGACTTTTTATCTTGAAAATTATTTTGAAATGTCTTTGCTGTTCTACATAACATAAGGTTTAACTGTAGGTCTGGCACCAAACTGTAACATCCACTGAACAAAGACAAGTTCCCATTATTGGGAAATCAATGTATGTGCCTATCTAATGACAGTCAAGTTGGATGATAACACATAGTTTAAAAGGTAAGACAATTACATTGTGTCCAGGAGACAGTGGAATAATCACAGGAGAATCAGAGGTGGAGTCTCTATTGTGCAGGGAAAAACAGACAAATGCAATTCTCAGCAATTATTTGCATCTCTGGAGGATTTTGCATCAAAGGATCTTTGCACTTTTACATGCAAATAGTGAAACATTCACAGAAACAGGCACGTTTTTGTTTGTCCCTGAAATCTGAAAGGACAACCCCGCGCAAATACTTGCAAATGTGCAGTGATGTGCAGGCTACTTGTAAGATAAGATAAGATAAGATAAGATAATCCTTTATTAGTCACACAAAGGGGAAATTTGCAATGAGGGAGTCAAGTACTTTGGTAAAGTAATAATAACAAAACGAATAATATCAATGGAATCAAATGTGTACATGAATACATGTCAGTGTAATAACTGTCCCTTTAACTTCATATCACTAATTTGTGTGGAACTTTGCTATTTGAATGTTATATATCCAGCATCTCGTCATCTTATTGAATAACATACTCAATACATCCATCTATCCATCCATCCTCTCCTCTGTCACACACTTACACACACACACACACACACACACACACACACACACACACACACCCAAGTGCTTTTAAATACATCAATATTCATATCCTGAGGCAAGCTTGGCCAGAGAGTTTGAGAGCACATTCAGCACATAGATGAAGGCACTGTGCAAAAGTTGCACATGCTGCATCGCACGCCCACACACGTGAGCAGTATTATTAGAAAAACACAGCACAGAGGAAGAGGGAAATGTCCTCTAACTGTCCCACTTAGTGCCGAGATTCCCTCAAGGGGCTGAAATGGGAACCCTAGTTAGACAAAAAAAAAAAAGGGGGGGGGGGGTGCTTCTTCTATTGCACATGTGCACTTTGTCTTCTCTTTTACAGTTGAAAAGACACAGCAGAGAAATTAATCATGACAGTTGTGAACAATGCACATGTTGCATTCTGCAAATGTAGATCCAATCAGAAATATCCATCGAAAAGCTTATAGACCCCCATTGTTAGAGTTTAGAAGTTCAGAGACAGCTATAGTTTCTTGTTGTGTCTCGGTATCATCCTCTAAACTGGAGATTTCCATCTACCAAATACGACCAATCCAAGCTGTCGGGTTTCAGATATTGCTTCTTTTCTGTTGTCTGGAGGTTTTAAACAAGCATGACGATGTGCATTTCCACCCCTAGAACTCGTCAAATATCCTTTGTCTCACCGTGTGATAACTGAGCCCTCTCCTCAATCCACCAGCCATCTGCTGCTCAGTGCCGGCTTCACGTCCACCCAACAGCCAGCTGACCTGCTGTAGCTGTAGCTGCTGGCCGTGGGGCATTCTGCCTGAGTATCTGATGTACCTGAAAAACTGCACACTGGGTGACTGACTGTCTGGTAAGCGGGCCGGCTGAGGTGACTGACTTGTGGGCCGAGTGGTCAGATTATCTGTTTCATTGGGGGGACGAGCATAAGGAAGATACGCTCCAGCGCTTCACTCTGGGGAAGCCCACAGAATGTGCTTGTGTGGGTGTGAGGACGTCTGTGGATCTGTGGGTGTGTGTGTGTGTGTGTGTGTGTGTGTGTGTGTGTGTTGCCTTAGGCGGATGAATGCAGACATTGTTTGATAGCAGTGGGCTGGAAGAGGAGAGCCTGTGTGCCCACAGCGACTAAGGAGTAGGAGGAGGAGGAGAGAGAGAGAGAGAGAAAAAAGGAGTAGGGGAGGAAAGGAAGGTGGGGAGCAGAGGCTTGTAAGTGGGTCGGGGTATCTGGGAGATTCATGGGGGTTGGGAGGATAGAATAGGCAGTGAAAAGAGCACCCATAGTGGATCATGCTCAGCACGAAAACTGGAGAAGCCAAGGCAGGTGGATAAGAGATATACCTTCCTCGAGGAAAGCTGCAGTGCTCCCACTCAAACTATTGTCTTTTACATTAATCTCATTAATATCTAATGTCAAAAGAAAGGTTGTTCTCTTGGCTGCACGTCGTAAACACACCAATCTCAGAGCACATCAGCTAAAGTTTGACGACAAATTAGCCTCTAGGGGAAATAGCCAATATTTTGGGGCTTCCAGAGTAGACAGCTGGTATCCAATCAGCATACACTATTAACAATCAGTTAATCGAGTCCATGCACATCAAACATATTTCCACACAGAACACAAACAGTGATGCTTTTGTAGGTGTTAAAAGGTCCAGAGGACACTTTGGCTAATCTCTCCAGATAAATTAAAAAGCAGATAGCAAAGTATTTGGCCTCTTTTGATCTCCACACGGACTGTTTACCTACAGGTTAACAGAGCCTGCTCAAACATGATTGGTGAAACTGGAAACGGAAAACCACGAGGCTTCTGTTTATTGTGGTCACAAACACACAGACACACAGACGAACCCACTCAGGATGACAGTTAGATGTGTTGTCATAGCTCCTTGCCCTGTGTGTCCATATGGAAGAGGGCTCAAGGCCATATGGCCTATATTGTGTGTCTGGCCCAAACTGTGTTGGAGGCATGTCTGAGCTGGATATGAGTGTGTCTGCATGTGTCTGCATAACAACACTGAAATATATATAATCCATATCCCGGCTTAAGCCCACTCATACTGTTGATCAGCAGGTCTTGCATTTCAATCCAGCTTGTGACATGCTTATTTTTTTATTATTATTTTTGCGAGATGATGTGAGTGATTCAATGAATTTGTAATGTCTTGCGACGGTTTGCATGAAACTTGACCTACCTCTTGGGATGATGAAGTAAGACAAGTCAACTAAAATATTTATATTCGTAAAACTTGCAGCTATTGAGTAATTTGCTTTCATTTGTTTCCCATCTTCCCATATAGATAAACAGCATCAAATCCAAACAAACATAAGTACAGCCCTTGTGATTTACCATTCCACTCGCATGACTCAATGAGAGCGTGAGCATAAATATATTGAACTCATGTTTAATTTTTCATATTGCATCGGTGAGTGTGTACCTCTCCATTTGCCAAATGCACTGAGACGTGTGCAGATGAAACCTGTGCAGAACCAAAGGAATGGATGTAACGAGGTCCGGGCTCGTAGATTGATAAACAGTTAAATGAAATGAGCAAACAGTGCATTGGGTGGAGGATGAGAGGAGGACGAGGATGGGGGGAGGGTGGGGAGGAAAGACACTGGCACCCCGCCAACGTTGACGAAAGCTGCTTAGCCCACCCAGTTGCCATGGATACAGTAAGGAGCAGCACCCAGAGAGAGAGAGAGAGAGAGAGGGAGGGAGGCAGGGAGAGAAAACCAGCAGGCATGCGTTAGAGTAAGTCAGAGTGGGAGTGAGTGGACCAGACAGCAGGGTGGAGAGAGAGGGTGAGTGTATGTGTTGCCAGAGAGAGAGAGAGGATAGCAAGGCAGCTAGAGAGCTCGAGGGAGCAGTAGAGTGGGAGTGATAGCGAGAGCTAGATAATGGAGGTGCAGTCTGAGTGCGTAGAGCCTCCTGTGGCCCCTCAGTGTGACCCCCAGCCCACAGGGAAGATCAACAAAGCTGCCTTCAAACTCTTCGGAAAGCGACGCACCGGCTCCGGAATGGCCAGCTTCTTCTCCTTCAGGAACAAAGGGGCCACAAACAGCGGGAGCAATGGGAATTCTGACAATGGGAATTCTTTGAATGGGAATGGCTCGGCGGCGGAGCTTGTTAGGAGCAAAACCCACGATGGACTAATAGGCTCAAACAACGACACTGATGGACAGAGAGGGGATGGGCTCGCCAGCCTGGAGGCAGGACCGGTGAGGTCTCTCAGCAAATCGCTGAGTTTCTTCTCTCTACTCCGACGTGGGAGTTTTAGGTCGAGTGAAAATGGGGGGTCGGGACTTGTTAGAAGAGGGAGGGGCCTAAAGGGCTTCTTTAGCAGCATGCGATGGAGACGAAAGGAAAAAACTAACGAGGGAGATGGGGTAGAGGTGGAAGGTCCCAAGGAGAAGGATGGGGATAGTACCGACTCTGAGAAGGTAAAGGATATTACTCTCACCCTTGAACCACCTCCGCATCATCACCAAGAGGATTGTGTCAATGCAGAGGCAGAACCCAACATCCAAGCAACAGAGACTCCCATTACTACTGTTACCATGACACCACAACACTGTGTTGCCATGACAGGGCCATCTGTTGAACCAGACTCCCCCTTTCCTTACACACCGACTGACTCGCCACTTCGCCCGACCATACAAAAAGCCAAAGCCTCAATTTCCAGCCTCAGCCCCTCCCTCGCTTCACCCCCCTTGGACCGCTGCAGCACGGGTGACCCGCCCTCAGAACCTTCGGTGGACAGACTATGCTCTCTCCTCTTCACTGACGTCACATCCCTTAAAAGCTTTGATTCACTGACAGGCTGTGGGGACATTACTGCCGATGCAGATGACGAGGGTCCGGCGGGTAATGGTGGTAGTGGCACAAGCAGCAGCAGTAGTGGCGGAGGAGGGGGGCCCGTGGGAGCAGGTGTTGGTAGAGCAGTTGGTATCGCTAGTGCCACATCCCGTGGATCCCCATCCAAACCGCCTCTACCTTCCCAGCTGACCCAGCCAATCTTCTCTGTTTCCTTAAGCTCAGTTCCTGCCTCCCTCCCAGCCCGTGCTCGGGCGCCACCTCCACCAAAGCAGCACCCAGCTGGTAGTGGCGTGGTGGCTTACATGGGTGGAGGGGAAGAAATGGCAAGTCCAGAAGGAGTGGACGATGCAGACATGCAAGGGCTCTGGCACATGCTGCCCTCCACGGGGGACAACTCTCCAGCTTTGCCCCGATTGCACCAACCTCCCTCAACCACCCCTACTTCCACGTATCCCCCTCGCTCCAACCCCTCAAGCAGCCACCTTCCTCTAGCCTCCAGAATTTCAGAAAGGAAGGTACCCCAGGTGAAGGCATTGGGGCTCAGCAAAATTCCAGTAGTCGGTGGAGCTGCAGTTCGGGCAGCTAAAAGCTCCCTCCCTCACACACATGGCCGCCATCCAACATCACCTGGTGAGAAAGAGCCACTCAGTGATGAGGGCTACTGGGACACACCCTCAGCAACACCCACAGCGACGCCTGATGAGAGCAGGCTGCAGCGTAATCAGAGGATGGCCCTATCTCGCGACAGCTGCTCTGGAGACCAACTGTATGACCTTTACAATGACCCTGAAGAGCATGAAGATGATGACGAACAGGAAGGAGATGATGATCTAAACAGTACCCCTTCTCCATCTACTGAGTACAAACTGAGCCCCACATCCCAGACAACTCCTCCTTCCTCCTCCTCCTCTTCTTCATTTCGATCAATGAAAGGCAGCGCCAGCCTTCCACGGGACTCCAAAATCCCAGTAAGCAACAAACAGTCATCACCTCCCCACTCTGTGAGCCAGTCAGCCCTGTCGTCCGTCCTGGAGGCTGAATCCCAACCACCAAAGACCGAAGCGCCTCCCCCAGTTCGCACCAGAATCCCTGTATCCAAGGTGCCTGTCCGTCGATCTGGAAACAAACCTGGCAGCAGAGGAACTGCCCACAAGAAGTAGTTTCTGTCAAACTGCTAGTTCTCCCCCATTAATGTCTGGACTTGAGTTTGTATCTTTCTACAGTGCTGTTCATGCAAAGCCAAACGTTTTCCCAGGCAGAAAAATGTTGAGCTGTGGAGTTAACAGCCTATAAATTCCTCTGAAATCTTAAAAGCACTCACTCCTCAAGTGTTTTGGCTTACAACAACTAGAATGAGTGGGTTTGTTCACTTGAGAAAGTCACGAGGAGACTCCAAAAAGCTGGGTTAACACTTCATGGCCCCTCGCAGGAACATTGGAGGTTGACTCTTGGTTGACCATGGACTTGCAATAGATACATTTGCCTTGTAACTTCCTGGAAAAACTCCCGATGTACTGAAACTTTAATTCAGCTCAAGACTGCACACTGCGATAAAGATGGAAAAAAACAGCAGAGCACCTTTTTTATATCTCATGTTTTTCTTATGGAGTTCCACATTGCATAACTCAATTTGCTCAGAAGGACCTAATCTAATCAGAGTTTTTCTTTTTGTTTTGAGCTTGTCATCTTGTCTAATCAGTAACAAAGTACCTCCTAATCCTCTGATTTTAGAGCCAAAGTTTGAAAAAACAGTCTTCATTTTACGTCCTCTAATAGACATAAACAACATCCACAGCCTTGGATGATCCACTTTTTTTTTGTTTTCACTGTTGTATGTGTATTTTACATTTTCAAAGATGCTCTTCATGTGACTGCACAGTTTATTCAAACTAAATGTGCATATTTCAAAATGAATTCTGAGATCTGAACTGGTTATACAACTTATACAGGAAAGCTTCTCTGCAGAATTCTCCACTTTGTTGACCGGTAAATTATTTTATTTTGGAAGTTTTGATTCAGCCTGTGACCTATGGATCTGCATCACTGCATCACTGGGAGTACATCCATCCATCTCTGGGATTTACAAGTTTTAAGCTACAGACTGAAACTTGGAAAACTATCGCAATATTCTACCTGGAGGGATCCCTTGCACTGATGTGTCATAACACACGGACACACACACAGGAAATTGTTCATGTACACAAACATTTTTTTCTCCATCTCTGCATGCAGTGCCACACACACACACCCGGCACAAAGGTCAGGAACATCATCTTACACTGAGGGATCTTAGACATACACTGTTCAGCCTTTGACATGGTCCTTGTAGCTACACTGGATGACTTTCTTCTCTAAAGACACAAGCGACTATTTTTTTCTAGTTAGCACTTTGTCCTTCACTGGATATCATACTGTTTTGTAAGCCCTGTTTTCCTGAGTCACATTGCACAGATCTCAAACTGTGATTGCACCAGCTTCTTGGACTGATGCTAACTCAGAGTAGAGTCCTTCACCCCCATTTCCTGGCTTTTGTACTTGTTGTACAACCTCATTCTAGGAACCACCGTTAGCTGCGTGTGAATCTGAATGTAGCTTGACATCTTTGTAGGTCATTGGTCAGCATATATTTTCCCCTGTGTTGGTCTGTTATCCTCTTTGTCCCTCTATTTGTGGGGGCAAGACAAATGAGCGGAATCTACTATTTTCTAAGCCCCCAAGTGTTTTGAGAAACGGAGACACACTACTGCACAGTGTGTGCACTTGTATTAAGAATGAGTAGTGTGTGTTGAAGTCCTAAAGGGCCTTTGTCAGTGACTCAGTGAGGCAAGTTACTGGGGGCAGAGTGTTCTCCACCCTTCAGACGAAAGAGAGAGGTTTTCGTTGGAAAAGGCAAGTTTTCTCTAATCTGAGCCACAATGAGTTCCAATGACATTTGAGGGTTGTTCTAGTTCATGATAGCTTTCCATCTGGTTTGGGAACAGAAGATTGATCCACAAGGTTGCTCCAGGTTCAGGTATCTTTTCAGCCTCCTGATGGTGTAGCATAAAGCAGGCTCTGGAGTAACCTGATCCCAGGTCTGCTGTGCAAGTATTTCTCACCCGGGGGAAAGGGCAGAGTAAAGGTCATTTGGAGATCCGAGGATGATCATGTCCATTTATGTCTTTTTAAAATTACAATAGCACGCAATCAATCAATCATTCATCCTTCCTCTGAGCTGAGGAATGGATTGAAAGAAATCAGGTGGAAAAATTGATGGAGTAATATATAAGGTGGGAAACAATATAAACCATCATGCCTGGTAAGAAATAAGGTTTTCTTCAAACGACAGTTGTGATATTGATGAAAACAGTTGGCTGAGTGGTACAAAAATATAATAAAAAACAATTATGACTCTGTGAATAGGGAAATTACACCTTTACCGATCAAATTGTTAAACTAAACAGGAATATATCATTTCGCTTTATATATCTGGTTAATTAATTTGTTGAGCTGCTGCACAGGGATGGCATCAAACATGGAGGCCAGAATACTGCCATGTGGCTCAGCTCCCTCTGTTTTTGTTTTCCTTCTCTCCTTCCTCTCCTACAAACTGATCACTGCATTGAAAACATAGTTTTGTTTTGATTTGTATTTATATTCAACCATCTGTTCACAGTGTGAAGTCCTTTCACTTTTCTTATTTAATTAATAAAACTGTGTTTGCGCTGACAGACAAGCTCATGACTCTTTGTAACCACGCATACAGATTACTTACATTTTAATGGCGGCAGCTTCATGTGCTTAATCATGTACTTATATACAAAGAGAAACAAGATTGAGCCCTTCTCTCCTTCACTCCCCCCCTCCATTCTTCACACCAGCACATCCTGGGGGCTCCAATCCCCCAAGGGGCACATAGCTGTGGATGGGAGACATGGCGAGAAACAGAGATGCTTTTTGTTGATGTGTGGCGTGTTGCATTTTTGTTGTGGTGTCACACGCTGCAAAGAGCTCTGCTTGGCTTGGGTGTAATAGGTCATCAATACCTTTTATTGATTGCTGGGATGAAAGCCTGATGGATGTGTCATTGTCTGCTGTTTGACTCCAGAGGGGTAAAAGGAAAAATATATGCGGGAACGGGGACAGACGAGCAACATGACAACAAAGAACCTGCTGACACATGGCTGATACATGTGGAGACAGAACCTGTGAGTGTGTGTGTGTGTGTGTGCATTATAAACATGAAATCGAAGGTCTCATCATTTCAAGAAGACACATGTTGCTAGACAGATCACATGTTGTTGTGTTGTGGGTGCAGCACATGAAGCGTATTAGAAGGAGGATTTGGTGCAGTGCGAATCCCCTTTGTAATGGTGCAGCAACACCCCCCCTCCCCTCTTTCTATTCAGCTTCCTCTCTGTGTTCCTGCACGCTGAGGTCTGTGTAAAAGCCCTTATGTAAGACCATAACACTCACTTTTTACCAGCCCGCCACATCAGAGCTATAGCCATGCTGACAGGGAGGATGATGCACGCGGGTGCGCGCATGTGTGTTTGGCTGATCTCATCATTTAATCCTCTGCTGCTTTGGTGCTGCGTGTGGACACTCGTTCTCAATGTGTGTGTTTTTGTGCATAAATTTGATGTGCGTGCATGACAGGGAGGATTTACTTTGTGCTTGAAATGTTGTGTAAAGCATTGAGGAAGAGATCAAGAGGTTTGTTTGTAACTTTTGATAAACAGCAGCCATTTGGCAACAACGACGAGATGGTATTCAGAGTGTAACATTAAAACATACACTCAAAAGCAGATGTGTTCATATCAACTTACAACACACTAATGTGTTTCTAGAAGGACCCCACATTTTGTGTAACTTCTAACGCAGCAAGCTTTGTGTTGAATTTTCACAAAAACACACACTCAGCTGTAGAACTTTATTGCACAACTTGTTTTAACAATCATACTTAAAATGTGTGTCTGTTTGGAGTTGGTAAATTTACAAGGAAAAACCGTTTTGGCAAAATAACACAAATTTGAAAAAAGAAAAGTAGAAGAGGAAATCTAATTTATTGGCTCTGATGTAGCCATCACTCTATGTGTCTGCAGTCGTCCTGAGTCATGCTCACTGTCCCGCTCCCAGCACCATCTGATTGGTTATGCAACAAATAGTGTAACAATGGAACAGAAGTGACTTTAAGTCAGCAAATACCTGTGTGCTGTGAAGCCATCATTGGTTAATTGCATCTGGGTGTAAGTGCTTATATGTACAGTTGTATGTGTATAATCAGTTTATAATCAAGTATCAGTTATCAGTGTCTAAAAACCTATAAATAGTCCATATTATAAATTTGAATTTACTGCTGAGTGAATATTTAGTAGTTTATTAGAATTATTATTTAAAAAAACGTTCAACTAGAGCCTATAAGAAACCTTCACAGTGTTACAAATTGCAAGATATTTATATTTTACAATAGGCCACAATAAGTCATCTTATAAAAGATAATTTAGAATTCAAACCACAGATGATAATTAGTAAAATAAAAGAATATTGTGAAGCTCATACTATTATATCAAAATAATGGTCTTGGTGGTATGGGTCTCCTTGCTTTGTGTGTCCTGTTCCAGTTCGTGTGTGTGTGTGTGTGTGTTCTGTGTGTGTGATGGAGCCTTGAGCACCATTCAAAAAAGCTGTACCCCACATTCTACATGGCAGCCTCTCTCCAGTCGTTCCCATAGTTACTCCACTAGGTCAACCAATGAAAACAGGGGGCTGGGCAGGAGGGAGGATGGGAGAGTGCTGGGTCTCCGTACGTTGCCAGAGACGTGACTGGAGCTGAGCTAGTGCAGCTTATTTGTACAAATAAACACACACAAACACAATGTCGGCCATGTTGCACCGCGATGTTTCCCCAGTAGCATAATTATGTTACCTGAAGACAACTATATGTTAATTTACATACATGGAAGGGGAGGGTGAGGGGAGTCAGTTGGATGTAGTGTGCAACATCACCACTAGATGCCACTAAACCTTACACAGGTTCTTTAATAATCCATCAACAGAATCTTTTAGTAGATGAGTAATGGCATAAGTCAGACTCCATCCTTTAAACAGGGCTCTGACCTTTAGCCCACATCCTCCACTCACATCAATTCCCTGCTTCAACTCTGCATCACCTAGATCTCATGAGCAGCCGCCACCACCACCATTTCGTATTCTGTCCATTCTCTCTCTGGTGGTGTTGTTTTGTTTTCATCCTGTGTCCTGCCTCTCCTCTCTCGCTCTCTCCACCATGATGCTGCATCGTCCCTTTCAGAGGCCGTGTTGTGTAATCCTCCCACTTGTCAATAATTCATTAGCGTACAAGCTTTTGGACTGTACACACTCTGTGATAGAACTGAGCGTGCAGCAGAATGTGATGCTGAGCTAGGGTTTCCTTCTTCCGAGTGGAATACAAATCCCCAAATACAAAGTCTCTATGGTGACATATTTTGAGTTTGAGAAAATAGCAGGAAACTAGATATTTTTATTAAGTTCCAAAACTGAAAGGGAGCATGTGAGCAACAAAACAGAATTCAAATTGAATTATTAGTCACAAGATGAATGATGAGGAAATTTGAGGAAAGATTTAAATGTCTCAACTGACTTTGTGTTGAAACATTTATGCAATGTAAAAATGGTCCTGTTTTTTTTTATTAATCCCCAACTGAACCTTTGAACTACATTTTCCTTGAGCAATAACAGAATTGAGATGGTGCACATGTGCGATTGTGGTTGTTGTGGTGTATATTTCAGAAAACAGAATCGTCTTTCTAACAGGTCCTCCCTATGAATGGACTGAGAGGTCATCCATATGTACCCAGGACAATGCAGAGATTTGAGAAAGGTAATTATGAAAACTCCAAACTGGTCACTCCGGTTCTTTGGGGCCTCCAGGAGGGGGATGAGGGGTTGAATACTTTTTGCACTACAGTGACGAGGGTGTGGGTTTCTTTTGTTCTGTCTGTATCACCCTCACTGAGGTGCACTCATTCTCAAAGCAGATTAGATTCTTGGATGCATGCAGATTCGAGTCTGTGGCATGTTTATGAAAATTAAACCTGGACTTCATTAGAAAATAAATTTATTCAATAAGTTGCTTTTTAACTTTTTGTCTGAATATATAGGAAAAAAATAAAACATCTATCTGTTTTCGCTTCTCCCACCTAAAGATTTGCCTTGAGAAATACATCAGTTGCTCTTGTTGATTAGAAAATAACTAATTATCATTTTTATAAAAGTGTATTCGTCTGTCATTATAAAACTGCGAGAATAGATTTAGTTCTTTTGCCATAAGGACGCATATTGCATTTAATTGATACATAAAAATTCTGGTCTGTTTCTCCTGAATTAATGAGATTATAATCCCAGAAGTCTGAGAAAAGTTTTCATGAGACTAAATCCTCATCTGAATTCATAAAAGTTTGTCTCTGAATCTTGACAAAAAGTTTTTAAAAGAAAAAACATCTGCTCTGTTTTTCTTAATAAACAAGCTACCTCAAAATTATTGTAGGCTACTGTTCATCTGAACAATGGGAAAGTCCTGACTTGCCTATGCAAACCTATCAAACTTATAATAATACAACCTATAAGCTATTAGTCAAAGACACACCTAACTCCCGATTTCTCAAAGAAAGCAAAGCTAGATCAAATTACACAGACAGGACATGTTTGCTTCAACACTCTCAAAGTAGCTCAATGACAGCTTCTCCTGGGATTTTGAAAAAGGCCATCTTGTAAAGTATAACATTTATTTTTTTAAATTCTCAAATGAATACAACACACTTCCATACCTGGTTTCAGAAAAATTGCAAATATAAATTATTGGTTGTAATCCAAGATAATCTTAATGGGAGCCTTCTGACAGTAAAGATCAAAACTGAGGTCTGATGAAAAGCCATCAACTAAATATGCAGATGTGGAGTTGGTAAATAGTTTTGCAGTTTGCATGAACAAATGCACAAGTTAAAATAGTTTGTCACTCATTTAGAGTTTAATTACTATATGTTTAAAATGTTAACTTTGGTGTTCACTGGTAATCCCAGTGCTGGACCATAGGGGTCATAAATTTCATTACAAATTCTTCTCAATAAACATCAGAAAAAAGGTACAATCATCACATCAGTTTGCAGCGTGCAGCACACGACTTGAAAAAGGCAAGAAATTAGTTGAAACATAAAAAACCCACCGTCACAGCTATTAAAATTATATTTTTTATTTTGTACCCAGAGCAGTCAGGAGATGTGTCTGCATGTTGAGTATCTGTTGTAGTGTCCATCAAACCCTTTTAACAGATGCAGCAGCTCTCATCACAAAGTGTATTTACAGGTTTTCTCAATGTCATTTTACGACTGTCCAGCACACAATGAGCAACTCCATTACATTAAAGCACATAAAATAAAACTTTAATTGCATAACGCAGTGTCAACATGGCCACATCATAAATAAAAGTATCATATAAATGAGAAATAAAACTTCAAAACCTTCCACCACCTTATTGACCATCCCATCAACGTCTTAGGAGCAGTCTCACATCAAATTTGTCTTGTGGTTTAAATTGAACAATGGACTTCTCAGAAAGACGACTGAATTCATGAGTTGCAGGTCAGTTGACTATTTAATCGGAGGTCTAGTTTGCAGTGGATTATGAGTTAAATTAAGACGTTTTTTCAAAACCAAAATAAGTGGCTGACCGTGACACCACACCATTAGGCTAAGCTCTGTTCATGCAGAATATTGTTTGCTTTCTATAAATAATTAAACAGCTAAATGACACTTTACAAGACAACATGCTGCAGTAACAGTCCCTAAGACATATGGAAACATGGCTAAGTAGCTGTGCATAAAAATAACTTAAATTAAGTAAGTCTTGCTTTTTGTTGAGCTATGTTTCATATTGTATGGATTAAAAGATAAATTGAAACTGGTTTGACACTACAGACGTATGGAACACATCTGACCAGTCTGCGTCACCTATGTTGTCCATTCCCCACTTGATGTTTGCTCATGAAATACTTTGAATCCTCTGCCATTGTGCAGCCGTCCCCAGAAATATCCCTGCCATGATGACGCGGTGTCCGCCCAAACCAAACACAGCATATTCTGACACGTGTCCACATTGTTCACCCTCCGCAAGCAAGAATGAGAAATGTGAGACAGTAAGAAATTGATGGATGATGTCTTACAAAATATAAGTAAAAGAAAGAAACTCGGCACTTCATCTTGTTTTTGAGTCACTGTGTGTGTGTTCTCACGAACACACACACATTGTGCGTGAGGACGCTTGTGAGGGACTGTGGTTCAGTCCACAATCCACAGGTTCCACCTCCATTCAGCTTGGTGGAGCCTGAATATCCACAGTGATATTAGTGTAGAGTATATTCTTCACAATCTCCTTGACTGTGTATGTGAGGGTGTTAATCCCATCTTTATCCATGGTCAACTGGGTTTGGCCTAATTTGATGGGGTTCTCTGGATTTTGCTCATTGTGCAAGTCTCTGTTGTGTTTAATCATCTTGTACTTTCCCGTTGAAAGGTCGGGGCGAGAAATCGTCATCCCACGGAAGCTGATCCGCCTGTAGATATCATCATCTTCACCGCCCCAGCCCCAGTAAGTGTTTGGGAAGCCGTTTATCTTTAGGTACTGGTCCTTGGACAGCGAGGAAACCCCACCAAAGAAGGTGTTGTACGGTAGCTGGAAATTAAATTTGTCCATCGCCACAGCAAGGTGTCTGGGACTGTCGAAGCACCTGTAAAGGTTGCGGTCGTCGATGGGAACCAGGTCTATGTCAGAGAAGACGAAGCAATCATAATCATATTCCTTAAGGGCTTCCACATAGCCCACATTCATCAGTTTAGCCCGGTTGAACACTCCCTCCCCATCCTGGTTGATGACATACACGCCATAGTCCAACTGCTGCCGAATCAAGATAGGATGGAGGTAGTAGAGCCAGTGATTCAGGTGCTCGTGTCGGTTTCGGAATGGAATGACAATCGCAACCTACACAAATGAAATAACTTTAGTTAGCAGTGTATGTGTTGGCCAAACAAAAATAATCTGAGGGATCCTTATCAGAGTTAATGTGTTTACTGATATCAGCCGAACAAGAAACCACTATCAGTCTGATTATAGTTTAGATATCAAACACCATCAATGTAGATACACAATCCAGCTTCACTGTTGTTTTCTATGAAATACTCACGATGGTGTGTAAACTATTAAAAGTCTTTATATAGAAATATGTCTTTTGGCAAATAATGGCAGAGTACAAATATAGTGAATAAAACCCACACAAAATACCAATACTGTAATTATTTTCAATAAATTTGTTCTATCGTGTGTAAAAGTATTGTGGATACAGAAATATGTCTTTTAGCAGTACATCGCAGAATGTGGTTGAAGTTATTAAGTATCTAAGCACAAAGTGAGTTTTGGTTTTATTCAGATTTAAAAAAAATATTATTTGGCAAAATAAGCATGAGACAGCAGATTAAAATAAAATAAATACAAATACATTTGTGAACATAAAAGTGACACACCCACTTGAACTTGAGTTTTTAATGAAAAACTACATCCAAATATAATCTGTCTGTCTGTGCAGAAGTTATCAAGCACAAAAGTTTTCTATGTTAGAAGTTATCAAGCACAAAAGTTTTCTATGTTAGAAGTTATCAAGCACAAAAGTTTTCTATGTGAGTTTTGGTCCATTTCTTTCAGGAAAGTCATTTCTGACTTTGCTCGTGATGTTTTGCTGATGAGTGATTCCACAAATAAATCTAAAATCAAAAGTGATCACCTGAGTCTCAACACCTGTGTGTAGAACTACTATATTGAAGAATATATGGAGTTCACCTACCTTGTGTTTGGAGCCACAGTCCGGGGGCTGGTAGCGGCCTCCCTCCCGCAGAGGGGAGCTCACCTTCCGCCTCACCTCATCCAGAGTCCGCTTGTGATGGAACTCCACGGCGATGGGACCGACGAGACCCGGGGGTTTGTCGGGGCACGGCTGTGTCCTGTTCGCCAGCGTGGTCCCCACCTCCTCCCGGGGGACACTCGGGGCCGGGGTCGTCATTGTCATCGTCAGCCGCACCTGTTGAACACCTCCCCGGGTCACCGGCGCCGGCAGCCGCGTGTACCCCCCGTGCTGAGGCTGGGTCAGGGTGGAGGTGCTGGATCCGTTGTACAACAGCATCACCCCAAAGTAAGATGCACTGAGGAGACCGAACAGTGTGAGGAGTTTAAACACTTTCTTCATCGTCATTGCTTCACCTCGAGGTGGACACTGACATCTGCATTTGTCTTTGGTCCAAGTTTGACTTGGACCAAAGACACCAGGTAGGTTTTATAGTCTCCACCAGCTTCCTGGTTCAAGTTGGTTGCTCAGGGTCCACACCTGTTCCTTATAATGATATATACATATATATATATATATCATCCAGTCACTGGTTTAGTAAGAAAAGTACTTTAGTGTTTCTGAGAGAATAGTTTGTATCATAATTTAATCCGTTTGTAAATAATATCCAAGTACTTTTAAAGTCTTTTTTTAATTTAGCAAAAACAAAACAGAAAGATAATGTAGCAGATAAACAGCCTGGTTCTGTTATGATTGACGCATTTTTTAATTTTCACAGTTAAGTCAACTAAAAGGAAAATATTGGTGAAATAGTCCCTGTAATAAAAAGCAGTGTGAGGCCTGCTGCTGTGAATTCAATGGTCCCTATATGTAGCCAAACTGCGTCCTCTACTGGTGGAGGATTGGCAGTGCTGCTTCTCATTGGGGACCTCAGTAACACTTGAAGGACAAGGAAGTAATTTAAAAAAGTTCAAATGGACAAAGCAAAAATTAAACAAACTGAAAGCTGAAATTGTAAAGATGATATAATAACACAAAGAAACTCACAATGGGAAATGGAACAGATGGAAATACTTCAATTAAAGTAAATATATATTTTTGTATTGCATTTGCGATCTACTGATTGACAATTGATATTTTAAACTTCATTTTTTCCATTTTTCACCAGGCATTTGACATTTGGCTTCTCAATCTGTGTGTAAATAAAGATAGGTGGTTCAAATAGGGGTAGAGTGGGAAAGTGTAATTTTTATTAAATGTTAAAAATATTCTCCATAGACAATTTTCATGAAAACGTTTCTCTTACTTCTGAGTTAATAATCTCCTGAATTCAGTAAAACAGAGCAGATTCTTTTCTCATGTGAATGCAATACACCTCCGTCCTCGTGTATCCAGTCTCACTGTTAAGTGGCAAGTTCTAAAACTGGATTTCAAACTTTCCTACAACCTTTATTCATAAAAACACTAGTTTGATACTGTAAAATCCAGACCACTGTAATCATGTTTGCAATGGGCTCACTCATATCCTATGTGACTCAAAATGTTGGCCAACATTACCTGAACGCAGCATGTTGAGGGTATTTTCTACTGTAATCCACCACTTCACATGATAACCATATATTTGTCATTGTAGCCTAAATTCTCCCTAAACCATCATAAAAATCTTAATAGTAATGATACATTGCTTTTATATTGCAATCTGTATTATTAATTCTACCAGGCTGGGCAACAAGCCAAAATATATATGGTAATAATGTTGAGATAATCACCAACCATCAAATTTTTGATCTTGTGAATACTTTGCATCATACCCAGTAACTACATTAAATATGGACTAAATCATTCTCTCCGAGCAAAAGTTACATATAATCTGTCAGGCTGCATTATAAACCTGCCACATTATGTTGACCATTATGCACCCCCCCTAAAGAGCCCCCTGATTGGACAGTTGGCGTAAAGATGTGTCGGTTAACCAATAACAAAGTCCGTTAGAGGCCCTCACACACACTCACGGTGCTGGAGTTACATCCAGTAACTACCATTTCTTATGAATTGACATCGTGTCCATTCCAGGGTTCAGTGAGGCTAAGTGAGGCCTGCAGTGTATTCCCATGCCCCGTATTCTATCTGCTGATTATATGTACCTAAGCCATAGCATTAAGTAATAAGTAGTGTTACTGACACTAGTAAAATAAGCAAGCGTTCCCACATTCCCTGACATTTTCCCAGGACTTTGATGGAATAATGCTTTCTGTCACCATGGGGATTCCGCTTTGTTTTCATTACTGCCTCAGTTATGTGATATGCAGTACACGGTTAATATGTTGACATTGGACTCAAATTAACTCGGGTTCTCGGGGGTGGAACAGCCTGAAGAGCCAAGCCAAGATGTTACGAGACGTTGTTTGCTCAAAACGCAGTCCTGTGTAACAGTTTTCTGATAGCAACGTTAAAGCTGAACTATTTTAACCCCTTAGAAACCAGAAAAACCGGGAACTCTTCCAGCCTTGTAAATTCTACCATCTGCTTGTGGTCAATGTGTGAGAGGTTTGTGAGTAGGAATTTAATTTGAAGAGTATTAATGTACTGTAAATGTGAAGTTTAAAAGCAGGTAATTACAAGAACTGTTTTAGTGATAAGAAAACTTTGCTGCAAACATTTTTTAGAATAAGAAAGACAAAAGTCACGGGACACCGAGGGGAACACGTGGGGTTATTTCTTGGGAGGCCCACACCAACACAACAGCAGCTAGTGAAACTGCTGCCAAACTTTGAATGGACAACATGTGCAAGTCCACATGAGTGCAGTTTTGCATATAACCACTAGAGGGTAGTCCTGTATCAGCAATAAACAATTGACATGTATGCCACAATGTAGTGAAAGGGAATTAGAGCATCCCAAACACACACACATATATTTATATACACATGTACACACAACATGCACACCCATATGTGTTTATCTGCATATATAAATATATATATATATATATATATATATTTATATACATCTCTTTTTTCAAGAATCCTTCTTTCCCTTTTTAACCACATACTTTTGGGATCTATGTGCCACTGTTTGTAGAGAAACCTGATCTCAAAGCCTCCATAGAAGGAATCCAGCTTTGGTTTGAACATTTTTAATCGAATGTGTTTCTTTCTCTTCCACCTCCACCCACTTTCTCTTTTGCTTATTTTTGCTGCTCCCACCGATTTGACTTTTAAGAAGGAAAAAAAAAACCCTACAGAGAGAAGTTCACAAGCAGCGTAGGAAGCTCATTGGACGGACTTTCAACCAAAACTGAGCTCCGCAAGACCAGTGCACCTCTGCTGCTGATTCAGCCGCACACTGTGGCATCCCCTCTGGAGCTGGACGGGCCTGCTTTTTTTGGGACATTTTTCTTGGCGTGCATGCTTGTGGTGTCAGGGTGACATCTGTGCCTGTATAATTTCTTGATTAAATAGATGAAAAAGAATTTGTGCTTTGACTCTTTCATGCAGCCAGTCTAGGATTTTTTGTTTGAATTCAGGCTTAGTCAAAAAGTAGTTTTTGTGATAATTATTTGTACACTAGTGACATGCAGATGCTGTTTATTTATGCAAATACCAGGACTTCCTGACACTCATGTGGACTTATTTTGAAATGGGTCACACTCTGTCTGTTGGATACTGAAACAGTTGTGAATAGCATGGCAGAGAAGGCAGTGGTGCTGAGAATAGAATAAAAACACCAGGGCTGTGGTGGAGAAGACACATTGCGTTGTTTTAAAATATATATACTGTATATGTAACAGGATTGTAGGATTTTCTTATTTCAAATGTCAAAAATATCCAATGCAGGTTTGTTCTAGAGTCGACACACAGAAAATACTCAAAGCAAGAGCCAGGCCAACGCATCTATTTCCCCCCTCCATTCACAATGTGAATACATTGCATACGTTCAGTGTATTATTATTTGCAGTCATATCGACGGACGCGAACACACACACACACGCAGACACACAAGCATGAACATTTATACTCAACCACAGCTCTTAAAACAGCCCTTACAGCCAAGAGAACTCAGCAGTTTAGTGAAACATGATGCTCAGACCATAAAAGTGTGTGTGTGTATGTGTGTATGTGTGTGTGTGTGTGTGTGTGTGCTTGGTTTTGAGTGGTCTCAGCTGTGTGGGACGCACCGCAATGACAGCCAATCAGAGCTAATTCAGAATCAGAGTGGTTTTGATGGCTCCATGGTCTATACGAGGGAACAAAGTAGAGTGTGTGTATGTGTGTGTATGTGTGTGTGTGTGTGTGTGCACGTGCATTTGTGTTTGTGTGCACACTTCTCAACCTTACTCTGTACTCCACCTGCTTCTCATTGCCCAAATGGTCTGGCAAAATCGGCTTTTTGAAATATTAGCATCTGTATACCACGGCTTTTATTTCACCGGCACAAAACGATGGAAATAAAGTTGGATTTGAATTTGAATAGAAAATAATCAAATAAATTAAATATAAAAGCTCTTTTTGTCTCGTCTTTCGAGAGGACTGGATGTTTCTCAATTTTCTTTTTCAAGTTTAATATTCACCACACAGTTGTCAGCCGTCAGTCTAAATGTGAAATTTCCTCCTTGGTGACAAATTAAAGGTGTTGTGACGTATGTTGCCACCACACGCAGGCAGAACAGCTTCTCTGGATGGAGTCTGTCATCCTGTTTCTCCACTCATTTTTCACTTTGGCCCTTTTATTTATTTTCACCTATCTTTATATTGATCATGATCAGTTAAGTGTTATTTAAATCATCCCTGACTCACAGCCACACACACATTTACCCTTCCAGCAACTCTTCTCCTCTTCCTCTTGTCCTTCCTCTCCTTTTCTAAGATGTATGAACTTTGCGTAACACTACGCAGCTCAATTCAGCCACTGTGTATAAAGATGGACGACATGGCCGCTCCCCAAAAGTCTACTTCCTGTCTGGTTTCCCTCTGTTGATTTCCTGCCTGTATGAGATACAAGTGTTAACTTGTGTATGTAACCCTGTGTCTCTGTCTCCTCAGCACCAGTTCATCTAGTTTCGCTGTGTTGTGCATTTTAGCCTTTTCCATTTTTCTAGTTTCTGTGTGTATTGATTATTGATCTTTGATTTTGACCCTCCTCTTTTGCCTCTCGATTCTGTGCCTGTCAAACTACTGTGTTCTGAACTTTATGAGTCATTAAAACACATTTTGGATGAGTACAGCAACAGCGAAATACTGGATTAACTACACCCAAGGGTAGAAAGACAATCAACGATTTTATTGTTATATTTTTATATTACTGTTG